ATCTTAATCTTGTGACTTTCTCTTTTCATAGACTTAGTGAAAGGAATTTTGTTGATTTTGATGCAAAACCCGGGTACAACGGAATCGTTTATTTGCATACTTCAATCAAGATCATTTAAAACTATTGATATCTTAGAAAAAAATAAATACCTAAGTAATTTCGTTTTTGGATCATAAGACGATATAGTGTGTAAATTTCTGTTGTCTTTTGATTATTCAAGGGGATATAACTTGGCTTCTTTTTTGCAGATCACGAAAATCGAAAGTTTAAAAGCAGCTCTAGAAATTTCAGTCCGGTTAAATTAAGGCTTAGACAATTTAACCTTTTTCTATCTAGGACGATGATGTTATTTTGTGGAAGTTTTCAAGCCAAGCGCTGATTAGAAAAATTGCGTCCGCTGAAGGGAAAAGAGAGACTAATTGCCGTTTAAACTAATTTAGCTTTGGAGTTTCTTTTTAAAAGCTTGAAACACTGATGAAACAATTGTGAAAAAGTTCTCATAACTAAAATGAAGGAAATAAATTGATCCTTTCAATTCTCTACTTTTCGCAGTCACTAAAAATTAATGTCTCATTGCTCTGGGTTGTCTATCTCAGACACTTCATGAACTGTACTAAATAAAAAAACTGATCAAAAACGGTTTGTTCTTTTTTCACAAACAACCAAAAATTTAATTGCATGCAAATCAATGGGCAATTAATCTATGTCGACATTGAAATAAGACTCTTCGTAAGGCTTCAAAAGCTTCAGTTTTCCAAGTTCTAAATCTCACTTTGGGTCAAGTACTTTAAAAAGAAAAAGTTTAAACGAATGTCTCAGATGTAGGTTTTTTTCTTATGCAAGCAATGCCAAGTATTAAAAAGTTATCAAGTTTTAGATTAAACCGTTTTTTTGATCTCCAGGATTCGATGAGTAATTGCTGATATAAAAAAAACCAAGCGCATGAAACTTCCGCCACTGACCTCAAAATTCAGATCAATTGAGTAGCATAACGAGTGTCTACTTGACAATCCCCCCTGCCGTTTTCATTTTTTCCTAAAATTGGTAAATCAAATGATGACATGCATATAAGCAACAACTTTCATGACATTGCTTTGGCCAAAAACTACTTGATTTTAAAAGACACCCTTAGAATCTCAATTTTTACATGTGCTTTTGAATGTTTTAGCTCGCCCTAATTCTTTCTCACTTGAACATTTTTGAGAAAACTTCCGACAAAAATCAAGAACAAAAAGCAAAATACTAATTATTTTGCAAGAAAAGTGATAGTTAATGATATCAAAAGTTGTTTTTTCCTCGAAAATTGCTTAAACATTTAACTCTAGCAGCTGAACAAAGGAACCCTAAGAAAGACATTGACAAATTACATCGTATCATTTAGACGGTATCAGTTCTAGTTTCATTTCTGCCAGCAAATTGTTCGTTCAATTGATACTATTTTCCTCCTAAATTCCCCACATCTGACTAAATTTTCTTGCAAACTGAGTTCAATAGCGAAAACAAGTTATGAGCAGAAATTAAGGAGAATCTTAAATTAGAACATTTCTAAAGAAAAATCATAAAAATTACGTTTTAAAAGCAACAGAGGTAATTATCAGTTACGAAGAAAATTTTGTTGAATTTAATCTAATCTATAATACACTTTTTAGACAAACTTACCTCAATTTTGGTAATTTTTAGCAAAAAAACTAATCATTTTTCATCATTTATCTGAAAGTGTTAATTATTATCATGAAAAATTTCACACAAGTTGTACAAATTTGGGTAAATCATTGAGAAAAAACTGAGGAGGAGTTGAATCATGGAGTTTGATCTAGAAATTTCAGTAATTTATGCGCTTTTTATTCAACTGATTTAATTTTTTGGTTCAATTTTTCGTAAACTAGACAAAAAAACCAGGTAAATACCAAAATAAAAAAAAAACAAAATGGAAATTTTTGGGTAAATTTGATTAATTTTCACTTTACTTTCTAAAAATTTACGATTAATTTCATTATTTTCCGGAAAATTCACTGTTGATTCAGCTTTGATGAGCTTTCTTTTTGGTATTAAGAGCCCAATGTAACCCGCTTTTTAGCTCTAATTATGCTAAATTTTGTCGTATATCAGTATTTTGAGAAAAAAACTGTGGAAAAATTCTTTTTTTTTTATTCAAAAATTTGTATCCTTGTCTCAAAATGATGCCAATAAAATAAAATTTGAGCTCAATTTTAAACTCTGTACGTAAAAGCATTTTTTAAATTAGATCAGAAGCAACAATTCACCAGACAAAATTATGCGATTTCTGCAATTTTTTTTCCAAAAACTAGAAAATTTTGCGATTTTCTTCCAAACTTTTTGACTTTCTCCGAAAATTCAGTAGGTTTTAAGCCGCTATGAGCTTTCATTTTGATATTCAGAACCTTATATAATCTGCTTGTGAGCTCACATTAGGGTAAAATTTTATCATATTTTAATGTTTTGAGTGAAAATTGTGGAAAAATCCATATTTTTGCAATTTTTTCCAAAAAAACTTGGAATTTTTGCAGTTTTTTTTCCAAAAAACTTGGCTTTTTCGAAGTTTCAGTAGGTTTCAGCAATTTTTCAAAAGGAAGATTATCAATTTAATGAGGTAAAAGCTCGAATTATAACAAACCTTATCGTGTTTTGAAGTTTTTGCTCAAAATCTCTTACCATTGACTTACCATGTACCAAAAAACTAATTAAAAGACCTTCATTCCACAATCAACACGTAATGAACAATTAATTTTTCCAAATAGATAAGGCGCACCGAGATGTTTGCAAAAAAATAGACATTTTCACACAAAAACCAAAAAAAAATTCGTTTTTCTTACTCTTACCATCACACTGAAACCTTACCATCGGTATTCCCTAACTTAATACATTGTAGACTCTATTCCCTATCTTAATCTTGTGACTTTCTCTTTTCATAGACTTAGTGAAAGGAATTTTGTTGATTTTGATGCAAAACCCGGGTAAAACGGAATCGTATATTTGCATACTTCAATCAAGATCATTTAAAACTATTGATATCTTAGAAAAAAATACTTATAAAATACCTAAGTAATTTCGTTTTCGGATCATAAGGCGATATAATGTGTAAATTTCCGTTGTCTTTTGATTAATCAAGGGGATGTAACTTGGTTTCTTTTTTACAGATCATGAAAATCGAGAGTTTAAAAGAAGCTCTAGAAAATTTCAGTCCAGTTAAATGAAGGCTTATACAATTTAACCTTTTTCTATCTAGGACGATGATGTTATTTTGTGGAAATTTTTAAACCCAGTATTGACTGGAACAATTGCGTCTACTGAAGGGAAAAGAGCGACTAATTGGCGTTTAAACTAATTTTGCTTTGGAGTTTCTTTTCAAAAGGTTGAAACACTGATGAAACAATTCTGAAAAAGTTCTCATAACTAAAATGAAGGAAGTAAAATAATGCTTTCAATCCTCTATTTTCGGCACTCACTAAAATTTAATCTTTCATCCCTCTGTGTTGTCTATCTCAAGTATTTCATGAACTGTGCTAAATAAATAAACTGATCGAAAACGGTTTATTCTTTTTTTTGAACCGAAAATTAAATTGCATGCAAATCATTAGGCAATTAAATTAATCTATAAACTATAAAAAGTCGACATTGAAATTAGACTGCTCGTAATACTCTAAAAGCTTCAAAATTCCAAATTGTAAAGCCTTAATTTGTGTCAAGTATTTTAAAAAGACAAAGCTCAAATGATTGTTTTAGAAGCAGGTTTTATTCTTATATTACCGGTAAGCAACTCCAAGTATCAAAAAGTTTTCAAGTTTTAGATTAAACCATTTTTTTTGTTTGAACTCCAGGATTCGATAAGTTCTATTTGGCAGAAACATTTTCCTTTAAAATTGCTGTTTTGATTGCTGAAAAAAAACCAAGCGCATGAAAATTACACACGTTACTCGAAAGACAGATCAATTAAAATACATAACGACAATTTCTCCATCCCTGTTTTCATTTTTTCCTAAAATTGATAGTTCAAATGATGACATATAGCAACAACTTTCTTAACATTGCTTTGGCCAAAAAACTATTTGACTGCATAGTTTTGCTGATTTATTTGGTAATTTTGTAATTTTGAATTTTGTAGTTTTGATACAAGATAACTTTCCCTCAAAAAATAAAACGATCAAGTTTTAGAAATTTTTGAAATATACATTGAAAAATCAAGTCATGTGGAAAATAAGATATGCACAGGAAGGGTGGAAAGAAGAAGATAGAAGGGGGGTTCTAGTTTCATAAGCAGGTCTGAAAGGGGTGGATGTTCGCTAAGTACATAAGCTGATCCCGGATTGATATTTTTTCAATGACTTGTTATACATGCAACTCATTTACACAATATTCATATATAACACTCATATTATGAAGAAGTCATAAGCAAGAAAAAGCATTGCACGATGACTTATAAAAGACAATTAATTCAAAACAACTGAAGAGAATCCGAGCAACATCTTCAGTGGTTTTCGTTTTAACAACAAAAAACATAGCAATGACATTAGCGAATTTTTTTTATATATGATATGTTAGCCAAATTTTGAGAACTTTGTTATTGTAACCAATAAGAGAACTAAAGATTTATTTAATATGCTGAATGTCTCGTCGACTTAACCTCCGATCGCTTTACTTAGCACCGTTGGATGAGTAAAGAATCACAAAACTGATATCGAAATCAAGATCAACTTTTGAACAAGACTCCTCGTATATCAGAGCGATGCCCTATATGTTACGACTACCCTTTGAAATCGACTGAAAGTTATTTTGGCTCTTCTTTGGGATGTTCGGCGGGACCGTTGGAGAGCCCTTTCTGACATAAAAAAATTATTATAAATAGCTAGAAAAAGATTTAAGAAGTTTTGGTAATTTTTTTTCATTTAAAGAAATATCCAACACAGCTATGAAAAACAAAAAGTGACATAATTTGCATCCGATAAAATACGATTAAAAATCCAATAAAAAGTCCCTAATTAAAAAGTTGAAATTTTTCTGGTAAAAAAGAACACCCGGAGAAAACATACTCCAAATTTTTCTTCGAAAACCGTAACATTATTATAGGTGGTTTCGCTAATCTTCTGAAGACTCAATTTTTTTTTTAAAAAATAGTTATTGTTTAGCAAGCGGTAGAGTTGACACCCCTTTGATCTTGTGGCCTTGGCGGTGTTTCTCCAACACATTTCGGTGCTTCTCCAAAATGTCCATCCTCTCTATCCTGATTTTTCTTGCATAATTTGAAGAGACTGCAAACTTGGATAATTCTTTTTGCGGCCTTGTGTCTAAACAAAAATAAAGAAAAAACTGTACAAAGATGTCATACTCAAAGAAGTCTACTCGTATATCAGGCAAAGCCTTGTGTGCTCGGACTGTTTGGTAAATAGTCTCAAAAGTTTTTAGGAAGAAGACAAGGATAGTCGGTTACTGTGCAAGTAGTACAGAATGTTCGGACCATGGTTTTTAGAAAACTACGGTTTAGAAAATATTTTTTCCAAATTAGTGTAGTTTTTCTGCTGGGTGAGATCAAAGGATCTGAGGTTAAAAAAATATAAATTAGGCATATTAGACAGTCTTAGTTATATAGGCAAATTGGAATATAGGCAAATAGCAATACAGGCAAATAGCAAAAAGTAATCATAGTAATACAGGCAAATTTTAAAAAGTTTTGTAGAAAAACGACTAGAAAACTAGAAAAAACTTGAAAAAAATTTTTTTTTCAAAACTTTTATCGGAAATTTTTAAATTTTTTGAAATTCTGGTTCCTAAAATGAAGCTATAAGAAATTCCAAAAACTAGTCCTATTTGTGTAAAATTAAGTTTCAAATTCTTAAATTAGCTGTTGTAAGCCTGCTCGCTTGCTATGTTCGCTCGAATTAAGACGAAAAGTCGAAAACTTCAAACCGGGTTTTCTCGACTCTGGGAAGTAGTAGTTTATGGCTAATTCACTAAATTTTTACGCGGTTGTATAAATCTATCATCCCACGACATACAAAAAAAAGAGGCTAACTTGAAAAAAATATATCTGAGATTGTGATCCGAAAATTCTGTGCTATTTGCATAGCAACTGGCAATCCTTGTTGGATAGTATTTTCACTTGAGTTGCATCGGGAATTGTTTTGTCCATTTAGCTGGGTTGAAATCAATTTGAAATAACTTTTTAGCGGTTGATAATTCGCTA